CTGTGGACTTTCCACCTTCTCTTTTTTTAATCTAATTTTATCTGCTGACAGTTTTTACCCCGTTTTATTTGCTTCTAATGGGCTTGATTTGCTTTTAACTTGTAGACTTTCCTCTTTGTTCCTGCTTCAATACAGTGTACATCTCCAGACCTGTTCAGTGAGTGATGGCAATGATCTCTCCGCTCCTGTATTAAGTAACAGTTGTTTCCATAGACACAGATACTGTAGGAAGAACCCAAAGGTCTAACTCCATGCTCTGCTTTAATAAATGGGTGTGTTAATTTAAAGACAACTGATATTTATTGTGCCATTTTCAAATGATGTCTCCCCTGACTTTAACTGATATTTAGTCCCTTTTACCAGGGTTTCTAAATAAACTGTAATTGGAGTTGTGTTAAAACCCACCATGAACTGGTTCATCTTATCCAGTACACCTGATGGATGACTTGAGGAGGGGTTTCTGGGATTGATGTACTTGAGGTGGGACTTTTTGCTGTCCGCAACCTTCATGACCAAGCTCTTCAACAAAACAGTTCATCTTGGGTTTTTTCTGTGTCTATGGAAGTGATTTTTCCATCGACACTCTGCCCACGTGTCTGAAATTTGTTAAAACACTGAGAGTGTGTGTCAGAAACTCTGATTAAACTTGATGTGCGATCGCCTCTGCAGGTTTGCTCTAGAGAGAACTTTGTGCAGTCATCCACTTGAAGCAATCAGCTGTGAGGCAAAACAGTTTGTGCAATGTTAATTTAAAATCCTGGCTGTTATTGGGGCTCTGGCTTGATTTTTAGCTTGATTAAAAAAAGAAAAAAGAAAAAAAAGATTTATATTTTATACTTGTTTGAGGACAAACCCCAATAAATTTTGATCAAATGCACTTGTGATCACTATTTTGCATGTTTTAAATGTGATGTGAAGCGCTAAGATGCAGAGCAGAAAGCACTGCATAGAGTCCTGTTAAACCCTGTGAGTCAGTCATCATTTGTGACCTTTTTTTTTAGAAATGTTGGAAAGAATCTCATTAAAAGCTCAGAGATGAATTCATCATCACTGTTAGTTATTAGCATTGATAGCATTTTTAATAAACCGTCAGTGATGCAGTGTCTGTTGTTTTATTGTCAATAAGGGAAACAGATTTGCATTAAATTAAAAAAACTCTTCTAGTCAAAACCTTCTCTTTTGAAGAAGTCAGTATGTGAGGATATATCCTGTACATCAAGATAATGTTGCATAGGTTGGATCATCAACATACTTAAGATGCAGAATCTTTTATTTCTCTTAGATGTTGGTAAATATTTGTGCAACTTAACAGAAATTTAAAAAGTAAGACAGAGCTGAAAAAGGACATGAGTGGACAGAATAATCAAATAGTAAAACGCTGTGAAACAAAATAGTTTATAAAGAGAATTTGGTTTATGTACTTGAGGATGAGTATTCTGCATTAAGTGTAGTATTACCAAGCAATAATCCTAGCTGCATGTAACTTTCATTTGACTAAAATAATTTAAAATAAAAGGAGAATTCTAATATAATCATCAGCTCATGCATTCATTTGGACGTGTGGCAGTGATGGATTTCTCCTCTGATGTGTGTATTAAGTTCAGGCCGAGTGCAGCTTCCAGATAAAGGTGAGTTCCTCTCCTACACCAGGTGTAAACATGGCTTGTATAAATGACTCAATGTGTTGTGATAGTAATATTTTTGAAGTTCGGTGTGTTCATTTGAAAGCCATGACAATGTGGCTTGATTAAAGTGAGACTTTGAAAAGAAATAAAAGAGTATAAAAATATAAAAACGTACACAGTTTTTTAAACTCAAAGTAAAAAAAGTGAATTCAGAAATATTTGAGATGTGCACAGTAATTACAGAAAATGAAATGCTATTCATGTTGAATTGATTTTCTCTGACTACATTTGTTTCCATATGCCGATACAGAACATGTAGGACAGGTCTGGGCACATGGGAGACAGACAGTTGTGTGTTTGCAGTATTAGTTTTTGGGGATGTCAGTGTCGAGTTAAATCAAAGTGAAGCAGATATTCATATGTGATGTTTTCTCTGTTGCTGAATGAGCTGCATGTTTTCATCTCGGAACCTTTCCGCCCGGAACTACTATCAGTGGACATTGCATCAGCCGTACAGTTGACAGTGAGAGACAGTGTATCCACGAGTGTGTAGACTTCTGTCCCCTGTAGTTCGGGTACTAGTCTCTGACTGTGAGTAGTAGGCTCTGCCGGGTTCTTCAGGTCCGCATGGAGATATTAGGAAGTACGTTTGACGACTCTGTGTTTTCGGAGGCGAGAGACCGAGTGTGTGCGTCTCTGTCTTCATACAACGCTAAACTGTGCGAACCAGAGGTGAGTGGGTCCAACGACAACCACCTGAACCGGGACCAGGCTAGTTAGAGCCGCGGTGAGGGAGCACCAAGGTCCGGACTCTGGGTACTGCCAGGAAGGTTTCATGACGAGTCATCTATGTAAATAAACTGTGATGTTAGCCTGCTAAAGTTAGCTCGTCAATACCAGCCTGCTAATTATTGCTTGTTAACATTCGTCTGCTAAAGTACCTGCTATCATTAGCCTGCCATGGTTAGCTCCCTCATCATTGCCAGCTAACAATAGACTGCTAGCAGCTGCTACATCCAAAAGGAGCCAGAATAATGATTTGATTATTTATAAATGTTTCGTAAAGAACGATGTGACTCATATATGGCAATATTATAAATGAGCCAATGTAACAAACGTCATGTGACGCAGTTCTTTTAATTGAATCCTGGTATTCTGGGTAATTTGTACCAAATATAATATATATATAACACTTTTCCCTAAATGAGCAAAGATACTGTCAGGGTGTAAAATCAAGATAACATTTAATCTAGCTGTAAAACATAAACTGAACAAACTGCATCAAAATGTATTTATATGTAGTTGCTATGTAAATATTAACATATTGTGGCTAATTGCTGTTTGAGTGAGTGGGTTTAATGTGTGATCATGTTAAATAAGTTGTATTGTGTCTTAAATGTTATTTGTTGAGTATGTTGGCTTAGTTTCTTTGGTTCAGTAACACTTGTTGCATGTGTGGCTTAGTTTCTTGTACAATGTGTAAAAGTCAGTGAGAAGCAGCTTCCAATCACTGTGGTATTTTCTATTGTCTCGCTCCTCTGCAGTGGTTTTGTGAGAGCGCTGCTCTCGATACAGACGATTCCCTGGAGAAACAGAAAGTTTACAAGTTCAGAGGTGACTTGGCCGTGAGACAGGGGAACTATCAGGTCAGTTTTTGTTCAATCAATCATCTCGAACCTACGACAACGTCAATCCTCCAGTTTCTCACACAGACTGAAAAGTTGATAGTGGCCAGAGTATCTGAGGATTTCAGTTAATTCTCCTTAAACATTTTGAGTTTATTCACTGCAAAACTGTTGTTATGAACCAGTCAGTGCTTCAGCTTCTGTCGTGTATCCAGAAGAGCACTGAAGGTTTTCTTCATTTTTAATTTAAGTAGTGAGCACCTTTGTTTCCTTATAACCTACCATGTTTCAGTGTAAAATATCGTAATATTGTAATCATGATGTGTGGTTATACACACACACAATGATCAGATATTAAAATATTTTATTTCTCTGTAATTTCACAGTAACAGTACCAACAAAAGCTGCTTGAAGTAAATACAATTTGGACTGGGCTCATAGTCGCTGCCATATGATAACCTTTTCTCTTGGTATCGTTCAGACAAGTTTTCCGTTGTCCACTGATGTTTGGTGTATTGTTCTGTTTGTGTTCTCATGGTGTGGTGGGTATAGAAAGCCTTGGAAGCATACAGCTGCTGCCTAGAGTGGCTCGCTGACAACAACTTGACCATCAGAAGAGATGTCCTGGAGGGAATGGCTCGATGCTGCACCAAACTGGGACAGAGAGAGAGGGCTGTGCACTTGGCTGACTTACTGGTAAGTCACCTGTGAGATTCTCTTTTAAAGTGTTTTCCATGTAGCACAGTGTGAATTCAGTCAACCTGCACCACTTTGCACACAGTCATAGATATCAGTCACCGAAATGTGTTTTTTGTTCTTTTTTAAGATCCATAAATTATTATAAATTACTTAAAATGTTGAAAACCGCCTTATCTTGCAATGTTGAAGAAACTCCTTCTGATCTGGATCTCCCCAAAATGTAATGGGTTCTTCCCTGATCTGTTCATGTAGTTTTTGCGTAATCCTGCTAAATGATAAATGAAAAAACATAGGCGGAGGTAATTATACATTTAAGACAAATGCTAGACCAAATTCCAAGTTATGAAAAAACATATTTTTCCAAGCAGCCAGTTACTTTTCATGTTAATCTCATGTTAATCATTTGGTTCTATATCATGAACGTACACTCATCTAATCTAAAGCTTCCTTAATACAGCCTTTATTTTGTCATTGACTTTAGCTTTATGAGCCAATAAAGTAAGTGCTTTTATGTGTCTCAGGAAGCTCCAATATTAAGAGTCTGCTTTCACGCAGCTGGAATGTCTAATAATTCAATATACAAGAGACATCTGCTTATTGTCGGCCCTCTGGATTAAACTGTCCACCAGTGTAGCTCAGTGTTGCAGCCTTTGTCTTCAGAGGTTGTTTGTTCATGCAGCATTGGAAATTATCATTATTATTATTAACTCTGATAAATCTGAAGTTGATCAGATGTTCTCTGAAGGTAAATTTCAGTGTTTAACAAAATATTGGTAAGAAGAAAAAGTTTGTAGTTGGTACTCATTTTTACAACATCTCTCTCCAGAGGAAAGAAGCCTCCAACACCAGTCACCTGACCAGCCTCCTGCTGCTGAAGGTCAGAACACACACACACACACACACACACACACACACACACACACACACACACAAACAAATATAAAACATAAACATGTAATAGACATTACATCGTTTATTACAGGTCAGCATCTTCCAGCATTTTGGAGCCATCGGATCAGCGATGTCATGTCTCCAGCAGCTGTGTAGCCTGCTGCCCTTTAACCCCTGGTACTGGTTCAACCTGGGTCAGATGTGTCTGCAGCTGCTGGAGAACAGACCCACAAGTAGGTTTGACTTCATTTCCTGTCTCATTTAACACCCATATTTTTTGTGTATTATAATGTGTAAAATATTATTTTTTGCTACAAATGAATAAACAATCTTATTCTGTTGTCTAAAAATATGTGTAATAATGATGATTTGTTTTAACGCGCCGATGTGTTAATTGCCTCCTCTAGGATTATGTTCCTCTGAGAGGTGTGAATCAGCAGAGGAGCAGAACGATGGAGAAACTGAGGAGCAACAGGAGGAGGCAGCAGAGATGGATGAAGACAGACTCCAACTAAAAGCTTGTACTTGTTTAGTCAGGACAAGGTACAAATCACTGTTTACATACTGTATGCCACATTCACACAAAATATCAACCATTCTACAATAGAAGTAGATACAAATACAACTAGAGACATATTTTAATAGTTGAAAATCATTGTTTTGTGTAATACAATAAGACATCTGTTTATTTACAAGGTTCAATGTGTATTCAAATGAGAGGGGTTCTTCATCTTTGTGGAGAGTTCTGGGAAGCATCCACATTCTTTTCCCTGTGTGAATTTAAATGCGTCCTGGTCCATATTGAAGAGACGCCTACTGACATCCTCTGATCCACTACAGTTTCACAATGTATTTAAAGTATTTTTAATCGTCTCAGTGACCAAGGATGTTAATATTTGTGCCCCCCGCCACAACATCAACACTGGTAAACCAAATAATGATTTCTGTTGTTTGTATGCCCCCCTGCCAGCGACAGCCAGAGGAATATGTTTGCGGGTTGTCCCTCCATCCATCCCATTGTGAATGTGATATCCCTCCCCTACTTTGAGGGAATCTCTCCAAAATCTGTACAAATATTCACGTATGATCTGGACAACTCAAAATTCACTTTGACTCATGGTTGACCTGATTAGATTTTGGTGGTCAAAGGTCAAGTTCATGGTGCCTATTGAATGTGATACCTCAAGACTACATGATTACGTTGTAGTGGTCAAAGGTAAAGGTCACAGTGACCTTATATAAATCTATAGATCTCTAGAATCTCTAAATCTCTAGAAATACATACACAGAAACTCGGATAGTTGGCAGAGGCATTCAACTGCAGTGCGGTAATTCTAGTTTTCAAATGCGGCACATTGATTCATTCAGTCCCTCCTGACACTGCTCGCTCTGCCTTTCTCTCTCGCTTGGACCGACACACAAAACGTCATCTGACTCATCTGAAAACTTAGACTGGATAAAAACAACATAATTTTATCTTCGTGAAAACAAATGATGTATGTGTGTTATTTGCATATAGAGTAGTGACTGAGGATCCGAGATCTGTCCACTTCTCTCAAGACGAATTATGGTACAAGGTCTGAACAGGGCCTTAATGTCTCCCTGCTTGTTTTATCTCCCTCAGACTCCTGTTGAAAATCCTTCGGCAGCAGCAGTCCTCCTTTGTGTTGCAGCGCAGTGAACGTGCCCTACAGACGACAGATGAGGCACTACAGCGGCTAAATCCCAAAGAATCCACACTGCAGACTCTCACTGAGGTGAGTACAACAATACTGACACACACCAAGTCAAAACCTGAATTTTTGAAGTTTATAGGCAGTTGAGTTGAAAGGTCACAGACTTCAAGTCAGCCGATAGTTTTACACGATTCAGTCTTGCTCTTTAATTTCCCAGGTGATGTCAGAGGACCTGATCCCAGACAAGATGAGGGAGGACTACCAAGATGGAGAGAGTCTGGCCAGTGTGTGTGTGCAGAGCTTCAGAGAGCGCTGGTGGAACAAGATCTTACTGACTGGTGTGTCAGAGACTGACGAAAGTCTGCGTCAGACAGAGACGGACACGGGGTCCTGATGTTGAATGTTTACAGAAGGGACTGAAGACGGCTCAGCAACTGATAGATCCCAGCAAAGACCAACTGACACAGACTGAATGAACTGAGAGTCATATCCTGGGCCTCACAATCACTTTAGATCTGTACGTCAATACTACAGCTCAAATGTTTACCTTTATTTATTTTTATTGTATATAAAGACGGACACATCTCCACTTCCTGCCACTATACAGAAAATAACCCAGATTCAAACGTTGCCATCTTGTGCATTTGGAGCCAGAGTCTGCGCAATAGTGATCAGGGATCAACTCTCTGGAAACATGAACACTTGAACATACATCAGTGTTATAACCTAATGACAGAAACCACCTTTGAGAAAAAATGTGTTTGATGTTTTCATTAAATATAAATTTTGGTCCATAACCCATCTGCTAATGTGGAGGATGGATTTATAACCTGTACTGTGGCCAGCCACCAGGTGGTGATCGAGACCGGCCATGTCATCCATCTTTATAATCTGATTATTCAAATGTAAAAGTAAGGTATTAGTGCACAAGGAGAAACATCCCAGATGTACTTCGTCCTCTTCGTACTGTTTGAAATGTAATTAATGACGGTGATTGTGTTCACCATTTTAACATTTTAATCGGTTGAATGTCTAAATCGCTCATCGAACTTTAAAATGCTGTGTTGATGTTGTATATTTGATTATTTTTGCAGCTGAAATATTAAAACAATTTTCACAGTAGTTGGAGACTATGACATTTACATGGCTGACAGAAGTCCTGACACACCCATCGCACAGTTGTCACTTCACTATACATTACATGTCTCATCTCAGGACAGTGGAGTTTGTCAGTTTTGTGACAACACACTCCACCTGAGCACATGACCAAATAACTGAAAACCCATTTGAGGAGAGCAGAGGAGTCACAACACTTAGGATATTCCACAAAGTCGCCTCATCACTGTGCCTCTTTAAATCACATCATATGCAGCCCAGAATAAACCGCTGTACCCAGAATCCTTCAGGGGACAGCAGTGTGTATCTGGAAAAAGTCAAACCACAATATGATCAGTCTCCACAGAGCATGACGCAAAAACACAGCAGGAACGCCTGGAGAAGAATCTAAACCTGATCCAGAGTCAGTGAAAAGCCACAGCTCACACAATCAGCCTTACTATCTCCACCACAGCTGGAAGCATGGTTCAAGAGTCAAACACTACATGCTACAAACCCCCCCGCACACAGACAGCAAATAACCATCTGTTATCAATCAACCTGCTACTGGAGGACTTTTCTTTCTTCTCTTTCAAACAACACAATGGAAGCACTCATCAAACTGAAGGTGGAAATGATAATCCCTCTGTGGCAGTAGACCATGCCACGGGGTTCCCACCACGACAGCCAGAGACGAACCAGTCCAACCATTGGGTGCTCAGCAACATCTTTTTATTTCATCCCAACAGAACTGACAAAACATTGAACTTAAAGGGTCCAGCACTTTCTGCTGGACCATCAGCTTCGCCCAGTCTCTTCCCCAGTGTGTGTTTTTGGAGGCCGCTCTGCTGCTGCCTTTTCAAGCATGAGGATCAATCAGCTAACAGCTCTCACCTGTGCTGACTGATCCTCTGTGGCGCAGGTGCTCTCCCAGCCCCTTCACCCCCACACCCTCCTATATCACAGCAAAGACAGGCAAAGACATGCCCTCAGCTTCCTTTGACTCATTCAAGAGGACACACCTCTGGAGTCCCAAACCAAAATCTCCCTTCTAAGAGCCCAAGGCCTGTGTGGGTGGGTGCACCAGGGTTGACATCAGTAATCATCGGAACTCCTTCTCTCATGCAGGTACATGAGCAGCCGAGATGAATCTACAGCCCCACACTGCCCACACCCAGGCCGGTGGCTCGAGCTCCACAGCCAGACCCAGCTCCTCTGACAGCACCTACAGGACGGGACAGAAGGAGCGGGACAGTCAGACTGGAGGCCAGCTCCTGCTATACAGTTTAACTTTTAACTAAACTTCATCAGGATTATCTATCTATCTTTCTATCTATCTTTCTATCTATCTTTCTATCTATCTCACTGCAAATGAACTCAAGTCTAGCTGAAATCCAACAAGCTCATGTTTCCGAATCCAACAATGTTATCTTCAGTGATGAATCATAATTAATACTTCAGAGATGAACATGGTCAGATGAGAGTTTCTCAGCGAGCATCAGTCATTTTTATACTTAAGAACTCTTCTCCAGGACCGAATGTGACAGTAAAGATCATTCACCATTTCAAAGTGACAGCCAAGCCAACACAGTATGTAAACTGATGTGTTGACAAACATTCTCTTGTTGTTCTCACCTTCCTTCCTGCCACATCTCTCGTGGTGTCAGCCAGGCTCTGCTCCTCTGCCAGTGCTTGCCTGTGAAGCTGTGCCAGCCTCTCGCTCTCCCTCTCCTGCTCGGCGTCGACCTGCTGCAGGCGCTCCGCCACGTCTCCCTGCCAGTCTGACTCCAGGCCCAGCTGGCACGCCTCCGCCAGGGTTTCCTCCAGGATCTGTGTGCGTAGAGAAAGTTAACGGATACAAGAGGAGGAGATCACGGATACTTGTGCCAAAATCAAGAGTTTTGGATGATTGTGAGGCCTTGATATTTTTTTTTGTAAAGCTGGACGCACAAGTGCATCAAGATCAGGAATTTATTCCACAGGGTCAGTATTTGAATGTGTCAATGATCTGCATGTTCTTGTCTGTGTGATCCAGAGGCTCTTTGAGGCCCTTCTCTGTCTGCCTTCCTCATCTCCTCCTCATCATCATCATCTCCAACACATCCTATCCCATGAGGGAAAATGGTCATAAAAAAAGATGTTAACAGAACACAACATGGTAATGTTATCAGCCAAAGGCACTTTAAATTAATGTAACAGCTGCAATTGGTCGAAACTTAGAAAAACTTACCGGCTGACCTGTTACTGCTGTTACACAATTTTATTTAGCGGTGATAACCTATTACATCTGATGGTGTTACATTTGAAAATAGCTTTCTAGATTGATGGAGGTTAAATACAAAGCAGATGTGTGTTGCTGGTGTGATATCACAGTCTTGCCATGATGAGCCAGAACTTTCTCTGATGTTCAGAGACTCGAACCAGTGCCGGCACCAGTTCACAGCGTCTGAGTGAAAACACAACTTCTACCACTATGTGTATCATCTTAAAATCCCAACGTTGCCCACCTCTGCAGAGAAAATCATGGCTGTAAATAAAATACAATCTAAGTGATTAGCAAACACTTAAAACACTTAATGATGAGGGATCTTGCCGCAAAGTCAATCACCTGGTTCTGCTGATGTCAATGACAGATGTTGCCATGGTGATATCCAGCCAGGAGGGAATCTCCTGTGGTTCAAAGGTCACATGGAGGAGGCACACAGAGGAGGAACAGCTCACACTGAAGGAGAAGGACACTCACACTGAGCTGGAATTCTACTCAATGCTCAGTGAATCGCAGTCGCTCTCTAGTGGTTTACACTGAAAAAAGTGGCAGAAATGCTGCAGCAGCTTTTCTCTTGATCAAACCTTCTGTGACTCAAGTCCAACTCTGCAGCATTTTTAAATCACAGTGTGACAGTCTCTCCAATTATCAAAACAGTAACTGCTACAGCTCGACAGCAACTATCTGACTACTTAAGCCGTGCGATAATGAGACACAACAAATGGTAATGTGATATTAAATCACATGAGAGTTGAGATTGGATTTACTTTCATTTTCCTGGTCTTGAAACTTGATTGGATGTTAACAGATTTTATAAAGATTCTATCAATCTCCTCAATCTAGATTGAACTGAACACAATATGAAAGTCTGAGTGATGCAAAAAAAACACAACAGCACTGAAATTCAGGTGTTTGTTTGAAAATATTCTGATATACACTTGATTTTTTAATTGGCCAGAATCTAGTTCCCCCAAAAGTCTCTGTGGAGGTGAAGGGGCTGGGAGAGCATCTTCACCTGCACCACAGAGGATCGGTCAGCGCAGGTGAGAGCTGTTAGCTGATTGATCCTCATGCTTGAAAAGGCAGCAGCGGCACTGCCTCAGAAACACACTAGGAAAGGAAGCACAGAGACATGGGGCTGCTAAATCCTGACTGCACATTTATATATTTCACTTTGGCACCTTATAATGTTTTATTATAATGTTTATTGGCACCTTATAATGTTTTATTTTTTTGCACTAGTTAATGACATTTGTACTTTGTTTATTTGCACTAGTGTATTGGTATTTGTATTTTTAGTTACTCTTATTTTCTGACACTATTACATGTTGAGGTGCTTGAGGTGCCTGGGATTGAAGCTTTTCATTGCCAACATGTATGCTGTATCTGTTGTGCAGATGACAAATAAAACCTTTGAACCAGACGTCCAGCAGAAAGTGCTGGACCCTTTAAGTAAAGTGTTTAGTTGATGTCTGCATGGGGTTTAAATAAAGATGTTGCTGAACAGCAAATGGTTTGACTGGTTCGTGTCTGGCTGTCGTGGTGAGAGCCCCGTGGCATACAGTATCATGAATGAAACCATCTCCGACAGAATCAAAATTGTAAGTGTCTCAGATCACAATAAAGGGAGATATATGCTTTATTGTAAGTCCCAGAGAAACGCTTTTGCCTCAAGCTCTCACTCATCCCAATGTGCATCACAGTACTCAATGAGGAAACATGTTGATTCAGCCATGTTTCTCTGTTTGTTACACAATGTTCTGTTCTAAAGCTGCTGTAGCACTTTGACCTGACAATAATTTCCCCATGAGGACAATAAATTATTTGATTTGAAATGGTTCTCTTGCCGATTTAAAGTTTTTTTCCAGCTATATATTCATCTCAACAGTGTCCCTGTAAAAATAACTGCATTATGAGTGATTACAACAGTTAAATTGAATTGCAAAATAAAGTCATACCTCAAAATTAGTCAAGTTTTCAGTTTATAATGCCATCAAGACCTCCAGAAGACTTTCAGTCTCTGCTGATCAGAGGTCAAGCAACAGCATCTTAGATTTAGATTTTATTCTCTAAAAAGATTTAAAAAACGAGTTGTGGTGTAAAGAAGATATGAAATTCTGAACAAACCAATGAATCTCATCTGCTAGGATAGTTATTGAAGAGAATCAGATCCTTGTGATATTTGAATTCTATGTGTCATTAAGCTGGAACTATTGAGTTTCACATCTGTTTTTGGAAAGGGAGGTTTCATGAAAGTGGATGATAACTTGCATCAGTTCTCTGTACTGATGTCTTTTCACTTCGATCCCCTCCTCCACACTCTGACGGATGCAGCTGTGACTCAAACCCTCCCCCTCAGGTGGCTGCACCCGGAAGCTGTAGTTCTGTTGTGTAAGTCACGCCCCCCTCTGCTGCTGGCTGCCTCTGGATGGTCACCTGGGATCCGGTGCAAATTTAACAGGAAGTGCTAGAATAGCGCAAAACAATGACAAGTGACACTGTGTTAGATACTGAAAACGCATCCGGTTCTGGCGTTTATCTTTCAAAATAAGAGCGTGATCTAAACCTGTCATGACTTGACAAAGAATAAGAGGAAGAAGACAGGCCTTCATCCGGGCTGCAGCACGCTGAGGTCACATCACTGCTACACTGATGTCCTCACATTGGTAGCCTTCCACTTTCTGTGCTGATTCTAACATGCTGTCACTTTAAAGCACTGCGTGGTCTTGCACCAGCAGACATGCCACATGTGCTCAGTGTACGAACCAGTACTGGTCCTCTCGTCCTCTGTTATGAGTGTGTTGCTGTTTTCAAAGTGCAAAACTAAAACCTTTGCTGAGGCAGCTTTTAGCTTTTATGCTTGAAGCCTCTGAAACACTCAACCTGAGGACGTGAGAGCAGCCGGAAGAGTTGATCTTATAAACAAATTCTTTAGCCTGGCTTCATATTTCTATTCAAATCTATGTTTTTATCCCATTTGATTGTCTTATAACACTTTGAGCTGCACTAACCTGGATGAAAGGTGCTACATAAATACAGTTTGTTTGATTGATTGTTTGGATGTTTGGTTAACTGATTGATTGATCGAGTAAAGACGCAAACGTACATTTATATATTCTCTGGATACACCACTCTTCTGTACTGTTTGATGGAATGTGACCTTTCTGTAAGTAAGTTTTGATCATCGTATTGTTTTTAAAATCTCCATTGTTCAAAGAAAACAGTTTTTGTAATCAGGTAAAAATGTTGAACTGAAAAACTAAACTAACTCTGTTTTACTTAATTTTATAAATGTAATCCGGGCATCAATTTCTATTGATAAATATTATTTAAGCTGTAGAGTATGTTTTATAAATGCTGTAGCTTTCCCCTCTGCTTTCTGGGTTTTGCATCCATCGGTCCTTGTTGTGTGGAAGCACTTATGTTTGCACTGGCGGTGTCGCTCTTTAGTTTTACTTTGAAAAGCAGCGGCGGATGCGTGTGCCTGACCAGTAGCTTCACCGTGTGTACAGCTAGCCGCCTGTGATTAGCCACGTCATGTAAAGTTAGCAGCGGAGCGGCGGTGATATCTGGCAGCCTGGGTCGTAGAGTGATTTGGGGGAGGACACTGGTTCATTGACGGAGAGGGGGCTCTTGTTTCGGGGTTAGAGGTTCGGCAGTAACCCGTTGGGAAGATGTCAGACCTCGGGGACTGGTTCAAAAGCATCCCGTTCATCACCAGGTCCTGGTTCGCTGCCTCCATCGCTGTCCCCCTCATCGGGAAACTGGGCCTGGTGGACTTCAGACACATGGTGCTGGTGCCGGAGCTCGTCTTCAGCAGGTTCCATGTGAGTTGTTGTTCTTGTCTCTGCTTGTGTTGGTCTGTCGCCGTCAACTCGCTGGTTGTTGTGTGTTGGATGAGCTGGGTGAGTTAGCAGGTGGCTAACAGGGCTCAGTGAGCAGGCCCGAACTGTGCGACAGCCAATCACAGGCCGAGACGTAGGAGGAAAGCACTTCCGGTTGCTGTCAAAATGCTACTTAATTTAGCACCAGCGAGATAAAAGTGTAAATATAACACGAGGCAGCATTTGATCCACCAGAGAACCATCACACGTGTTGGTATTAATACGAGTAGCTTTAATAAAACGAGATCACACGGACTCATTCTGAAACGACCTCACTCTCCTTTACAACAACGTCAGTTCAACAGGATGTAAATATGTTTCCTGGCAAACTGAACTCAGAATGAACCCTGGTACTTAGTTATTTAAGAGTATAGAGTTTTATTAAAGTACACTGACTCAAGTACTGAACACGTTTAACATTAAAACACCAATTAGGAAATAAAGAAGTTTGTTGGCTTCACCTCCAACAACTATAACATAAATGTACAATAACAATAATCTGTGTATATATATTATATATTATATTATATATGTGTGTTATGATATCTTTGATACTTGAGCTCCATTTTTCTGTTGATATAACTTTAATATTTTCTAAGGTTGTAATTTCCATACATCCATGTCAGCCGTCTTCTGAGGTTAAGTCATGTTAGCAGATAGGTTAGAAATAAGTTTCCTGGAAAACTTCATTCAGGTCAAAATAGGGACGTTTTCCAGGATTCTCGATACACAATTTGATATGATGGCACAAAACTAAACAATAAATACCAATTTACTTTAACACACACTAGTAATGACAATATTTGAACATACAAAGGATATATAGCCTTTAAATAAAAAGAAAAACATAAAAATATAAAGAACAGTGGCATATAGGAAAAGTTTCAGTTTCAGTTTTCAGGTACAGCTCAGCAGTGCGCTAATACACACACACACACACACACACACACACACACACACACCTCTTTACAAACTTCAACTATATTTATTTGTTAATATATATATCTACATTTTTCAAGGTAATAGTTTGATAACATGGATTTTACTTGTATTTGAATATTTTTATGTTCTAGCTGCTTTTACTCAAATACTTCCTCCATCACTGTGTATCACTGTTGTGATGGTTACAAGAAAGTTTTGCGCTGCACAGCCTGTTACACTTGAGCCCAGAGCAGTTGTTCTTTATAAATGCTAAAATGGTTTGTTTTCATATCGCACTTGATGACCACCAAGTATTTTAGAGTACAGTTGTGCCATTGACCCATTCCCACACACATTGAAGTAGACTGGGATGGAACCGCCAACCTTCTGGTGAATGGAAGACCAAGTCTAACTCCTGAGCCACAGCTGCCCCCATACGCCCCCAACACTTGGCTTTAGACCTTACTGCTCAGTTTCGTTATCAGTGCACAATATATATAACCTTTAAGAGATGAAAACATAGGAAACAGGGTGACTCTGTAACCAACATAAAACCCATTGATCCGTCTGTCAGTATTTTGAGGGTTGGAGAAAATCCCAGCTGACGTTAGGCAAGAGCCAACACACAGAGACAAACAACCATTCACACTCACATTCACATCTATTCGGTCAATTTAGAGTCTCTACTTAACCCTGTTGTTTGATTGTGGGAAGACGCCAGAGCATCTGGAGAAAACACAGAGAAACTCCACAGAAAGATCCCAGCCCAACCAGGAACCTTCTTGCTGACGACAGTGCTAACCACTGCACCTCTGTGCCGCCCCTTTAAAAACACAGGAAATCATTAAACGTGCACATTCTTCAAGCAGACAGTACATTTGGCATTTTTGCTTCATTAAAAAACGAAAACAATTAATCATGCACCGTATTGATTCAGATGCTTTTTCCTTCTACTCTAATTAATCAACTTAATAATCATTCTAATTCCTTGTACTATTGTTTATTGCTGCACGTACCACTTCAGTTAAGTTGTAATTGTTTTCTAAATTTCCCCTTGATAAACACTGATTTATCACAGAAGGTGCTTTATCCTTTCATCACCTCTTGAATGCTGCACTGATCCGACTTCTGTCACCATCAAACAAACCCTTTGAATCCAGTTGTGATGTAACGGGCTCTGAAGAGGAACGCCAGCTGTCAGTTGCCACCGTTTGAGAGCTCAGACGTTTTTCTTTGCAATCCAACAGAGACACGAGGCTGGATCTGCACACATGCACACAGCCACGTTGATATCTTACTACATTTCTGTCAGATGAACGTCTCTTTTGTCTGTTTCAGCTCTGGAGGCCAGTGACAGCCACTCTGTATTTCCCGGTAACTCCTAACACCGGCTTCCTGTACCTGGTCAACCTATATTTTCTCTACAACTACTCCACTCGGCTAGAGACGGGTGAGACTACTATGGTTTAAACTAATGGTTTTTAAACCCACAGTCACATTAAATGCTCCTTCCATCATGCTGATCTTTTTCTTGCTGTGGTTTTGCAGGAGGATTTGATGGCAGACCCGCAGACTATGTCTTCATGCTCCTCTTCAACTGGATCTGCATTGTTGTATCCTTCTGAGTGACATCACTGAATACCAGAAACCTTGAGTTTCAAAGACAAATAATCTGCCTACATTAAATTATCCTAAATTATCCCTCATTAACAACTCAGGTTAAATCCCTGTTAGCCTGTTTCCACTCTACCACACTCTGCTGCTTCCTTTCCCCTCTGCGTCTCTCGTTCATGTGTCTTTTCTGTACCTCTCTCTCTCTCTCCCTCCCTCCCTCCCTCCCTCTCTCTCTCTCTGCAGCACTGTGCCATGTCAGGGAGGCTCTGTGCCAGTGGCCCAGTGTCAGCCTACCCCTGCAGAGCAGAGAAACCTAATCTAGGTCACATGCAGCACCAGCAGTGCAGCCTGGCCCACATCTCCACACTGTTTTGTCAGGAGTTCAGCCCTGACACTCTTAAACGCCACTCTGGATTTTTACAGACATTTCTTGACATGAAGCAAAACACTGTGCAGCTTAAACCTCATCTCAACCACATGTTGGGTTTTTTTCCCACCTCAGGCTAACTGTGGACATGAGTGAAAAAAGAAAAAAATAAGTGTGTGAAGTGTGGGAGGGATAGACGAGGTCTAATTTGCCAAGGTCAGATGCCTTGCTCAAGGGGCTAAGAAGCAGAAGAAGTGGAAGGTGAGAGTCATCTTGTGTGGGGGATTGAAACTGGCAACCTTCCAGTCACCAGCTGCTGTAATCTTCAGGCTCCAGCTGTGATTGTACTCAGCCACAAAGTTGCCGTCCTTGACTCTGTGTGTAGATAACCGGGATGCTGATGAACATGCGGGTGAGACTCTTGTTTTTCTCTGTATTTATATCGAAACATGAAATCATGAAGTCATGGCCACTGTTTAGTATATAAAGCAGCAACAGTATCTGTGATCCAAAGGTTTGTGGTATTAAACTTAAAGTCTGTGCAAACCATAGACTTGGATCATGAAGAAGATACAACTCAGGCTCTTAAGATGTCACCATCGGTTTCACTAAACATAACTGATACAGTGAGCTAAACTCAGCTAACTCCAGCTATAATAAAAACAAGACCTTCAACTAGAAAAGCTCTCAGCAGGGCACATACCTCAGCCAAAGACCAACTGTCTCCTTAAATCAAGCTGCACCAACTTGCACACACTCATGGATATCAGTTCTCAAAATGTGCCTGGTTTTTAAAAATGAAGATTCATAAATTATTTCCTTGGAAATAAGTGCAAATGTAAAAAAAAAAAAAAACGGCTCTATGCCAAAATGTAAAAGGTTCTTTCTTGACTCATGTCCCATCATTCCACCAAGTTTAGTGGTCACAGGGGTGAAAACATAACCTCCCTGGCCTAGTTAAGATTATAGGGCTTCTTAAAGTTAATGTTCACTTATAGTCAATATTTGACGTAAATTCTCCATTTGTTTTTCATTGCGACACAGTTGTGCTTTTTGCCTCATGAAGAACAGACTTCAGAACAGTAACAATAAGCTGAATGTGTTTAGAGTTTATACACGGCTCTGTTACTGATGCTTTCTTTTTTTGTCTGCTTGTGTTTTCAGCTTCTCATGATCCCACTGATCATGTCTGTGTTGTACGTCTGGGCTCAGTTCAATAAAGACACCATCGTCTCCTTCTGGTTCGGAACACGATTCAAGGTACATCATGTTCTACCACCAACACTTACATCACAAATTGTCCTTTTTGGTCTTGTCTTATTGAAGGTAGCTCATATTTGATATGAATTTGAAGGGTTTTTATAATTTAACATGGAGATAATTCTAATGATTCATATGTTGTGGCTCTGTCTCAGGCACATTATCTACCGTGGGTCATCTTGGCTTTTAACTTCATCATTGGAGGCTCGTAAGTAATTCTTTTTGAGTAGTAGGATCAAAGTCACATTTTAATGGTTTAATTTTGAACACACTGTAGCATAAAGGCTCTTTCTCACCTAACTTGTTTCGTCCGAACCTTCAGACTTTTCAGATTAGTCCAAACCAAAATAGCGAATGTGAAAGGTTCCTCCGACCACGGTCCAGACCAACGTCAATAAAAATTAGTCTGAACAAAAGCATTGGTCTCAGTCTCGATTAAACTGATCTAGTTTCAGTTTGATTGCAGTTGGAAAACATTTTGTTAGATAGTTTGGACTTTTGGACCATTTGCAGGAAGTTGAGACTGCACGAAACAACAATAGAAGAAAAAAAAAGTGAAAGTGGCTCGGAGGATTGCTCGCAGTCTTTGCCTCTGACGCTATAATTCTAAAAAGATGTGGATGTTCATTTGACAGAACGTGTCGAGTACTGCGCCTGCAGTGATGCTGGTTGTGATATAATGATATTACAGTGGCAATAAAACTGATGAAATGAACTAGTTCATTCGTTTTCTACTTCCTGCTGAATTGACACCACACCGAAACCAATCAATCAAAACACCCAGATTTTGAATTTGGGGTCTTGAATTAATCAGGAATGATTTTTCTTTCTTCTTTAGTAGAAAATAACCTGAAAATGAGCCTTTATATGTTCTGAGTAGAATAACTGTATGTAGACATGTGACACCAGCACTGTGCGACTGGGAATAATCTGCACAACTTTCCTGTTTGTCCACAGTTTTGTGAATGAACTGACTGGGAACCTGGTGGGTCACCTCTACTTCTTCCTCATGTTCAAATACCCCATGGACCTGGGTGGACGCTCCTTCCTCTCCACACCAGAGTTCTTGTGAGTTTTTTTCACCCTGTGCTTTATTTTGAGGTTTTAACCTCCTAGCGACTCTCCGATCGACTCATTTGGTCTTGTATGGCAGGTCAAGAACAGTTGGACTCGGCAGCTGATATCAATCCTGCTGATTGAACACTCAACAACTAGAAACCAACAGACTGAGGATCTTAACGTCAAACTGGCTTCACAAAACATGATTTTATTTATATCTCAAGTCTGTCTTTAGGGAATTTCTTCAGATTTTGGCCAGTTGTCACAAAATGAACTAATTATGACCTCATATTTGAGTCCGGGCAAAAATGTATGTCGACTGACACTGGACTGGTTTGTGTAGACGTGCAACTACAGGTCCAGTTGTTTTAAATCCCTCAATTTCAACTAATATCATCTGTTTTGTTATTTTCATCTCATCCCTGTGCACGTCTCTCTCCTTCGTCTCCCAGGTATCGGTTTTTGCCAAACAGAAGGGGAGGGGTGTCGGGCTTTGGAGCCCCTCCCAGCAGGAGACCAGTCGCCCCGGAGCAGGCGGGAGGTGGTGGTGGGGGAAGAGGACGTCACGACTGGGGCCAAGGCTTCCGCCTGGGGGATGACTGAGAGGGGGCGAGAGGAGATGGCTACACCCTCCTCCTCTTCAGCTCCCAACAACAAACAGCTGTGCAGCTGATGATTGAGGTTAAAATGTTTGCTTCTTCACATTCGTCTCTGTTTGAGGGAATAAACAGAAATCTTTGATCTTAATAAATAATAAATGTTTCGTTATATATGAAACATATGATGAGATGAAAATTTGAAGAAGCATACATTTTAACCCAAAGAGCAGCTCGTAGCAGGTCGCGGACTCTGGCTGTAGGCTCAGTTCCAAAGCCAATAATCCACTGCTGCGGTTGTGTCCAAGTGAAGCAGATAGAAGAAAACATGAATAAATAGTTTGTTTTTGTAATTTGATGATTCTTGATCTCCCCTCCCCTTTTTCTTCTGCCTTTCTTCAGTTCATCTCTCCTTCACCTTTTCTCCACACACTGCCAATGCACTGTCCGGATGAGAAATGTTGCAGCTGCACACCAGTTGATTTTGATTCATGTGTTCCTGTCCTCCGTCTCTCTCTGTGTTGCCATATCAGATTAGTGTAATTACCAACGCACAGGGACCGTGCTCTCTGCCGTCCCTTCACAGAACGTAAAGCAAGAGAGAAGAGCACTGTTCCCAGGTCTGAAAGTACATGGGCGTAAATGTTTGTTGAAGCCCCTGAGGCACAGACTGATCTTTCTTCTGTCTTAAGATTTCATGATCTGAACCAAAATAAGGTGAAAATGTGGATTTGCTTTTTTTTGTAAATATAGCAGTTCATTTAAAGGGCGTTGAGTCTAAGTGTATGAATATCTTATTTTTCAGCTCTGGGATTAAACCTCTCTCCAGAATCAGGGGTGTTCAGCTGATCATGGGCCTGTGTGGTACAGCCGGGGCTGATACTAAAGTTTATTTTCATGATCAACTAATTATTTTTTGTGATTCTTGTTCTATGAATTGCAGGAAATACAGTGAAAAGGTTTTTGCTCTGACAACAGTCTCAACGATATTCATTTTATTGTGACATAAAAAAGTTTCAAATCATAACAGTTCAGAAGCGTCTCCAGTTTATTAACACTTCTAATGCAGGGATGTAAAGGAGGTTATGGTTTCACCTGTTTGTTTATGAGTAAGATTACACAAAATCTACTGAACGGATTACTATGAAACTTAGAAGAATGCATTATGAGTTGGGAAAGAAACATTACAACTTTGGTGCAGATTCAGGAATTTTTTAACACGTTTTAACTTTGCGAGATCTGGTGTTTTTTATGACACTTTCAGTTTTTCCACCAAATAATTCATTGATCTTGATGAAAAGAATGAAGCACATTTAGGGAAGTCATACATATTAGTGTGTGTGTAATTGCTGCAGTTTGCTTGAATTTAAAGGAAGTGTTGGGCCTCACCCTGAATGGTATTCTAGTTCAGTTAAATATGAATTTGTGATTGCATTTGAAGAGCAGATCAAAATCTGAGATGACCGGATGCTGCGTCACTCAAGCTTAAAGTTATTGAAGGTTTGCATATACAACACTAACTTCTTTAACCAGTGGGCTGATGGCAGGAACGTTGTAACACACACACGTTTCCCATGGTCGACATAAAGTCATGGACAAGTTGAAAGATGCATCACTTCAAAGATGTCAGAATACGCTGTCAACTTCAGACCCAGTGGTTTAAAATTTAGATTTCTCATTCTTATGCACATCATTTACACACATCGTAGACAGAGGGGAGTTTGACAGTCAGTTGTGTGTTTATTGAGTTACAGCAGGCTTAGAAAATGAAAATGCAAAGGTTTCCATACAACCAAATGTACAGTATCCCAGAAACGTGTCTGAGCATAAAACTGAAGCAGTAGCAGCAGACATTCAACTGGTAAACAGACATTCACCTGCTGGTCAAACGATTCAAAATGAGCTCAACTTAACCTTTCTTTTCCCACTTGCACAGACATCGCAAGGATTTGACCCATAAGTCTAAGAGGTCCCTCTTTTTTCTTTTAAATGAAAGCTGAAGCACATGCAAGAGCAGTTGATGGTGGCTTTGACCGATGAGATATTTACCAAGGATTCCAAATCAAATCAGAAAAAAACAAAACAAGGTGAAATCATCACCAGGCTGTACTTCAGGAAACGTTGAGAGCTGAAAAGGCAGCGTGGTGCGATCGAACAGACACTCCTCCTTCTCTTTGTGTGATTTATCATTTCTGTTTCATGAAAAAACATTCTGTGCTGTTACCTTAACGTGCCTCATGAACTGATGCAAAAACCAGCTGGTAAGGAAAGATACAATACCAGTAGTATGATGCACAATGCGTTCATTCGACCCAACGCTCTCTGCTCACACGGCGGCTTGTGTTCATTCTGACCTCTCGGCTGTTGCCATGTTCACCTCTCTCAAAACACTCTTACTCCCCCAAACATCCCCTCCATCACATGAGTGATCCCCACCTTCACCATATCCTATGAGGGCGAGGTGACGCTGCTGGAAAAAAAAAAAGAAACCTTAAGAGTGTGAATTGAAGTGGCCTGTCATGAGAATATCTTATCACTACAGCAGGGATATGCAAGTGCCATCAAAGACTGCTCATATAGAGTCGTGCGCAAGTTTGATTCCCAAGAAAATAGGACCGATTAACACAGATTATCATACGCTCTGATCATGAAACGACAAAAAAAAAAAAATGTTCAGGGCTGTGTTCAGACTTGTTTAAAAATGTAACAAAACTCGCCCTCGCAGTAAAACTGTACAAACCTTTTTCTTTGCAATACAGAAAAATATTTACAAGTCTTCTTCTGTTTGTTTGTTTTTTTAAAAAGTGTTGTATTCGTAAGAACAATGCATCAAGTCCAGCTTTGGCACTCCTCTTAAAGTCTGCACCTCACGTCAGTGCTTCCAACTGCAGAACTCCAAAGTCCCCAGAGCTTTGTGATGACATCACAGGCAGACAGTTACATCACTGCTTCCACGTTTGGTCATCGTCCAATGATGATCAGTGACTCACCTGAAACATAGTCAGACATCAAGAAGAAGTATATTTATTTTTAATACTGTATCCAGATTTTCTTTTAAACTATTTGCTTGAGTGAAAAAGAAAAAAATCATCACTTGCCAAAGTCTTACTGACGACAGAAAATAATTGTATTTTTATAAAACAAACAAGAAATGTTTCCATGTTCTCCCTCTCCTCTACCTCCCCGTGACAGCAAGCGTGCATACGCGTGTGCTTGTCGACATGTGTGATGCTAATAACAGTGTGGACCAAGTATCATCCTGCCGTCCCAGCATGCCATCTTTCTGAAGGACCAGTCACACATAATTACACACTAATAACTTCCTGTGTAGCTGGAGGCTGCAGCTGTGGCATCTCAATGGAACAGTTCAACATTTATGTATCCATTTATGCAAGCCAAGTTACACAATTAATCCCCAACCCCACCATCCGCCCATCCATCAATCCATTCTGTGTGGACGCTTATTTCTGGTTGGGGTCACAGCGGTCCAGGAAATATCCAGCTGTGACCAGTTACCAAACATTTTTTTAGCGTCAAGAAACCTTAAGAACCAGATATTTTCCTACAGATGTTGCTCGGGTGGCCAGAAACATCTGCGAATGAATTCTAATGCAACTGAAGATGTTGCCCCTTGTTATCAATATCATCTTTACAAAGCAATCATTTGTCAAATGTGATTTCAACCCCATGCGGCAAAAACCAACGAATAATAAGTTCTCGCATGAGTGCAGCATCTGCATTGATGCCACAGCTGCAGATGAAACTACAAGTTCTGCTTGGACAGAAGAAACGTTATTGACAATAGTGCGGGAACGTTGCAAATGGTGCTGGTCACACCAAGTTAGAAATCAGAGGAGTGTAAAAAAAAAAATTGGTTCCTCATGAAACTGTGGCAGGACAAATTAGAATATTACAGGCCGCCACAGTCTAGATAATTAATGGGAAACACTGTATCTCATTTCTTGATCCCTTTTTATTTTTTTACAGCAAATATTAGTTTTCTTTTTCTTTCACCAACTAAACCTACCATCAACCAGTGACTCTCTCTGGTTTCTCCAAGGTCAAAACATCGGAGTCTGTTGACAGCATCTGTCTTTCCACTCCTCCGTCAGTCTCCTCCCCCACTGCCACAGTCACCTTTACCCAACTAACAAGAAAACACAAACAGACTCCTTATAGGAACTAGGACAAAATCTGAAAAAGATTCATTTCTGTTTGGCATTAATCAAAGTACCATAAACACATTCATGAACATGTAGTTCATGGAACAATCAACATGCATATGATTGATTATTCCAGGATCCACAGTGATCTGGTATTTATTTTCATGTCGCCACCCACCTCTCTTTATCAGCAGTGCCGGAGCTAGTCTGGTCCAGTCTGGTCTGGCTCAGGTCTGTCACACTGTGGGCTAGTCTGTCAGTCAGCCTCTCTACCTTTTCGTGTTCTGACAGCTTGGCGTGCTCTGTAGCTGCTGTGTTCTCACCAGCCTCCTCCACTGCACCGACGTCTGTACAAAAATCAGAAAGCACAAAGTCAAACAAGAGAATTAGATGATTTGCAAAATAACATTAGGATGGTGTGTTTGGTTGGACCACCAAATTCTAATCAGTTCCTCCGGACATTATATATCGCAGTGGTGTAACACGCTCTCTTCCAAAACTCACCAGTTACAGCTTTGACTTCCAAGGAAATGCTCTTGCTCTGTTCCTGGCCTGCTTTCTGCTGCTTGGCTATGTTTTGGTTTCGGAAATCTTCCATCCAGTCCAGACTTTCACCGTTCTTCAGTACCAAGCGGTGGTCCTTGAACCAGCGGACAATGTCGGTGCGTCCCAGGCTTGTTTGGACCTCCAGCTGACTGTACTCCTCAGGAGACGGCCACTGGGTCCGACAGAACATCTGCGGGAACAAATTTGAAAAAAAAAAGTTCACTATTCAAACCACATCAGTTATTAATTCTTTGCTGCAATGTGACGATGCTGAGGCACAGTTCCTTGAAATTCTCTCTCGCAGTGAAACAGAGCCTGCTCACAGGGACTGCACATCAGAGCTGCCTTTATTCTCAATTCAGCTGAGAATTACTTTCAAATCCTCTATGTTTATGTCCAATGGGAGGTGATATGATACTAAAAATACATTAGCTATTGTTGATGGACCCTTATTTTTAGCAGACGAAACATATGGATCGCCTCAGGAAATCTGCACAATGACCCTGTTCAAACCTGATATTAACATCTGACTGTGGTTCTTGTGATCAGATCTCAGGATGCATTCAGGACATTTGGGTGTGTTCACACCTGCACTCGGGGTCGACAATTTGTTTCTGGGAATAAAACACCTTTTACCTTTACTGTTAAA